ATTAGAAATTATTAAGTCTTAAGTAACTAATTATTAAGGTAGAAATTAAGACCAGAGACATTAGAGTACAATCTTGCCCACATGCTTATGAGTTAACATTTAATTCTGAAAACAGGAGTTAGATTCTGAAATCACATAAATTTTTTGAAAAAAAACAAAACAAAACAAAAAAACCAAAAACATGAAGGTCTTAATTCTATAAAGTTATCAATCTTTTTTTAATTTAGAGAAAAACCCACAGCTTATTATGCAACTGAAATGTGAAAAAACCTACAGTGCTCCAAATTTACCAAAACCAGCAAGGAAATAATTAAATGGCAAATAGCAAACACAAGTTTTTCAGAGCAGAAAATAAAAAAATATACAAGCAACCAAACATTCTAGACTTGCAGTGCTTCTCAAAACTACATTACTCAAACACTTTTTCTCCCAAGGAATATATTTTTGTGACAAGGTCTTTGCTACCTTCACATGGGCTATTGCTCACACTGCCTGACTCTCTGTTTCTCTAGGATGACACCTTAACAGCGCTCCCCTCTGCTGCAGGGACCAAAGTCCCTAGGGACATGCATGCATTTGATTACCCAAAGATGACAGGACTACAGCTACATGGTAATGTACAAAGTCCTCCTCACTTTGAGTGGGAGAAAGACTAAAGGACACCAGTTTATTTGTCTGTGCTATGTTAGCCAAGCAGAAGCTGACCCACTCTACTGTTTTGCTCAGCCTGGAATTAACATGCACAAGAAATGCTATTTTTGCTTTTCTAATGGGACTGCAGCCTAAAAAGCTATTACATATTTTGTATATACTGACACAACCTAGTTGTCAGATTTGTTTTGTATACCACCCACATTTCTCTCTCCTTAATGATAAAGCTTGTATGGTTTTAAATTAGATTTGAAGAGAGGCTGTCTGTCATTAGACCAAGTGTTAAAATTGTAAAACACATACCAGCTTTCAGGCACACAAGCCCCTCTTATAAATGATACAACGTTGCATAACCAGTAAGGAGCATAACAATAATATATAATTATCTGGCCAAGAGAATTATGGATCAATAGCATATAAATATTTATTTTGCTAAGTCTTAATTCCCTCTTCATTCAGTAAGAGATGATACTTAATCTATATTTTAACTAAGGTGTTGATATATACCATTTTTCTACTATATGAGCTTCATCATTGTGCACTATGGAGGAAAAGAAGCACAATTATATAAAAGTAGGACAAGGCTCTGCTATTACTCATGGCTTTTATAGTGCAGATATTTCTGTACATATATGTGTAATAAACATAGTTTGGTTCGTAGGTCTACTCACTTGTGTAAACGTCAGGATATCTTTACTAGCCAATAAGTGAAAGAAAAAAATCTCTGATTTTGGTAAGGGAGATAGTTGCCTATATAAGGAGGAGCAGCAATCTATACACAAGGAATCTGGAGTGATTTAAGTTCCCCATCCCCTTCTGAAATGTTGTTAAAGGATTTGAGCAGCCCAAGTTTGCAAAAGACAGCTGGTGCCTGCTTAACACGTAATACTCGGTACCCCATCTCCTGTTTCCTCTAAGTATATATATTCTTCTCCTAAGTATATATATTCTTCTCACAGCTCTTCTAGAAAGACCTCCAGAAGAAAAACTGTTCTTGTGCCAGCATTTTTTGGATGCATTCCTCAACCTGGGGCTGGGCAGCTGCCGATCGGTCCATTGCTTGTGATGAAGGGCAGTAGCGATGGCTGTATCCATGCACTTGAGAGGGCAGCTGGAGTTACTGGGCTGGAAGAAAACTCCTTCCTTTCTCCTCTGCAGGCAGGCAAGGCGCCAGTTCCCTCAGAGGGCCTTCTGTGCTGGGGCAATCCCACTGTCAAGCAGTGCTGCTGTGCTGGCCCTCCTTTGCATCCTCTGTGCTGGCACAAAGAAGGTCACAGGCCAAGTGGGACTCATGGCTTAAAATAGCAGCAGGCGCAAGAGGGAATTGCAGACGGCAGCACAAAATGCTGTACAGGGCAGCACGGCAAACAAAACAGCTTTGACTTTTGACTGAAAAAGCAGGTATCTAAACACAGCACTCGTTAAGGCCAGACTTATATAATAGTTAAAAAATGTCGGTGCTTTGAAATAGTCCCAGCAGTGTAGAGCTAATGTAATACTCCTATTTAGACGCCTTGCTTTTTACCTCCAAATAAAGGGTTATTTTCAATAGGCATTGCCGTTAGGCATGAACAGTGGTCTGTAAATTATCTGTTTCTGCTCTGTTCCTGTTTAAACAAAAGAGAAGTGTTCTGGGTAATGCCTGTGGGAAGGGAAGGCAAGATGGAGTGTTTGCATCAGAGGGCCTGACCAACGCTGGGTGAAGACAACAAGGTCTAAGGACCGTGACATGGCAGCTGCCTACAAGACAGGTAGGAGGAAAGCTGACAAGGTGTCCAAGGGAAAGTGTGTAAAGAAAAGGTGTGGTAAAGGGAAATAACTAATATGAAGGTCAGGGGACAACAAGGGAAACCAGGAAAAACCAGTAGGAGCAGAAACCAGAGTGAAAAACCACTGAAATCTACTGGAGTTTACTGGAGAGTGCCATCGCTATGCCATGTGGGCTTTTAAACACAATCAAATCAGATAAGACAGTGCCCACACCTGTCTTCCACTTGTACTGTTTTAATATCGTTGCTGTTCGGGCAAATCACAGCCACCAGTTTCCAGAGGGACGGTGGGAGAGACGCCTCCACCCACCCTGGCAGCCTGTGTCTGGCTGCAGCGCAGACCAGCCAGTCACCATCCCCGTAGTGCGCTCCTGCCGCACAGGTGCTGCCGGGTGCTTTAGAAGCACCCCCAGTCTGGATAATTTTGTATGGCAAGGCTTTCCCTGCCACACCCGAGGGGAGCAATGAGAGAGGAGCCATCAAATGCTGGGGTCCAGTGCTGAAGATGGTGGTTCTTCCTACTCCCCTCCAGCCTACAAAAGAACCCAGCTACAAGTTAGCTGTGTCCTCGCTTCTGTCCCTGCAGGGAAGGTGAAACGAGGGAGGCACAAGCCTTTCCTCAAAGTGTAGAAATAAATATTATTCCTTTTCTCCAAGGATGAAGTTCATCTCTCTGGAGCAGCAATCGGCTATTTATAAAAACGGGCCAGTCTCCTCAGGAAGCATTTCCAGCACCGCAGAGGAGCATGTCACACAAGGGCCGTGCACTGGCTTCTGCTCCAGGAGCAGTGCTGGAAGTGGCCCATCGCCCTCTCACCTTGGAGTCTGACGCTGGGTTATTTTTTTATTTATTTACAGTTCACATACGGAGGTTGAATGTAAACCCCACAAACGGAATTAAACGAAATGCACCACTCCAAAACTTAAAACCTGTATGTGCCAGTAACACGACACTTCAGGCCGAAACACGTTTAAGCGTTCCCGTCCCTACCCCTGCACCCCTGCAAAGGACGGCAGGGACGGATTCGGGAAAGAGCCGTTTGTCCCGGGAGGGGTGGGCTGCCGCGGGCAGATACCACCGCAGGCAGGGGAGGGCGGCGGCGTTCCCTTCCCCCTTTGCCTTCCTGCCCTGCCCCCCTCCCCTGCGTTGAGCAACTCCATCCGGGTCCTTGTCCCGCTGGCTCGGCCCGACTCGGCATCACGTGGGGCATGAGGGCAGTGACACGAAGCGTGACAGTGGGGGGGGGGGAAGGGGCAGGGGGGTTCGACCTGGATTTTTGGCGTGATGGAC